TGAGAAACAGAGACCGGTATAGAAGGAGATGAGGAAATCAGAAATACAGAGTAGAGATGAGAGAGAACATCAACATCACAATTAGCATAATTCGTAAAACTGCCGATGACACCCTTTTATCTCCTTTGTCGCGTACTCCCTACTCAACCTGGATCCCAAGCAAATGTATCGTCGGGCTGTCTAATTCCTTGGCCATATAGTGGTTTAGCCTCAGGCCCAATAGCTTGGCCAACCTTTGTCCAAATAACTGGCCCATAAGCATTATCTAACTTATCCATGTTCACAACAATACTCCCTTCCTCAATAAGAACCTTGTCCTCAAGGTTCGAGTTAAGAAATACTAGGCTCACGGCCTTTGGTAAACTGGCTATAGTCTTGTGGACTTCAATAAGCTTGCAGTGCACCAGATGGCAAGCACATGCTAATTCCTTTTGAGCAAAATTAAGAGCGCCATACCANACATCCGCAAACCATGGCATATCACTCATTGACACAGAAAGTAGCTGCTCATCGGGAAATGCATCATTGATCTCTAGGCCATCACACGGCCTCCCTTCCTCCTCCAAGCGGGACAAGTGGTCCGCCACTTAGTTTTCACTACCTTTCCGGTCCACAATTTCTAAATCAAACTCTTGGAGTAACAAGACCCATCACATCAGCCTAGCTTTGGAGTCTTTCTTTGTCATCAAATATCTAACAGCTGCATGATCGTGTGCACTATAACCTTGGCTCCCATGAGATATGGCCGAAAGTTTTCCATTGCGAACACAATAGCCAACAACTCTTTCTCAGTAACTGTATAGTTCCTTGAGCCTCATTCATTGTCTTGCTCGTGCATTTTGTTCACTCTTTGACCCAAGATTGCCCCAACCGCAACATCACTCGCGTCGCACATGAGCTCGAAAGGCAAGCTCCAATTGGGTACGGTAGTGATCGGGGTGGTGGTCAACTTATGCTTGAGAAGTTCAAAGGTTTGCATACATCCCTCATCAAACACGAACTTGGCATCCTTTTGTAGCAGCTTGCACAAAGGATTCACTACCTTCGAAAAGTCCTTGATAAATCTCCGGTAGAACCCCGCGTGCCCAAGAAAACTCCTAACCCCTTGACAGAAGTGGGGGGAGGAAGCCTTGAAATCACTTCTATTTTGGCCTTGTCACCTCTATACCATGCTTTGAAATTTTATGACCCAACACTATGCCCTCCTCAACCATGAAGTGGCATTTTTCCCAATTGAGCACAAGATTGGTGTCTTCACAACGGGCCAACACTCTACCCAGGTTTTTCAAACATTCATCAAATGAATCACCTACAACACTAAAGTCGTCCATGAACACCTCCAAAATATCTTCCACCATATCGGTGAAAATGGCCATCATACACCGTTGGAATGTTGCCGGTTCATTACACAACCCAAAAGGCATCCGAGAAAAAGCAAAGGTGCCATATGGACAACTAAATGTGGTCTTCTCCTGATCCTCCGGAGCAATCAAGATTTGGTTGTACCCAGAATATCCATCCAAGAAACAATAGAAGGCACTCCCATCAAGACGATCAAGCATCTGGTCAAGGAAAGGCAATGGGAAGTGATCCTTGCGGGTCACCTTGTTCAGCTTGCGGTAGTCCATGCACACCCTCCATCCTGTAACTGTCCGGGTTGGAATTCGTTCATTGTTAGCATTGGTCACCACGGTCATACCACCCTTCTTTGTCACACACTGCACCGGTGAAGTCCACGAGCTGTCAAAGATAGGGTACACAACCCCGGCATCTAACCACTTGATCACCTCCTTTTTCACAACTTCTTGCATTGCCTCGTTCAACCTCCTTTGATGTTCCAAGGAGGGTTTTGCATCATCTTCAAGAATAATCTTGTGCATACAGAATGGTGGGCTTATTCCCCGAATATCAGCTAACGTCCATCCAATTGCCTTCTTCCGCTTTTTGAGCACCGCCAATGTGGCATCTACCTACATGTTAGTAAGACAAGAGGAAAGAATAACTGGCAAAGTTTAATTAGGGCCTAAGAATTCATACCTGAGGTGTAGAGGCAATGGCTTCAACTCCAACACCGGAGGCTCCTCGATTGAAGGTTTTGTTGGAGGAGTTTTTCTATTTTCAAGATCCAAAGAGAGTTTCCTAGGCTCATAAGAATAAGAGCCCATTCCATGTAAAGAATTCACGCACTCCACTCGGCCCTCATCATCATTGACATCAAGATTCAACAATACGGCCTCCAGAGGGTCCTCCACATTGATCATTGCACTAGTATCATCAATTATCACAGCCGTGACAAGATCCACAAATGAGCACACTTCTGTACAATTGGGCTGCTTCATTGACTTGCACACATGAAAGACTACTTTTTCATCACCCACCCGGAAAGTGAGTTTCCCTGCTTCCACATCAACTAAGGCCTTCCCCGTAGCAAGGAAAGGTCTCCCCAATATGATCGGAACTTCATAATCTACCTCACAATCTAAGATCACAAAATCAGCTGGTAAGATAAATTTGTCCACCCGGACAAGCACATCATCTATAATACCCAAAGGCCTCTTCATCGATCTATCTGCCATTTGCAACCTCATGGAAGTCAGCCTCGGCTGTCCAATTCCCAAAGTCTTGAAAACTGAGTAGGGAATCAAGTTGATACTCGCCCCAAATCACATAGAGCTTTAGCAAAGTCAGCACTTCCAANTAAAGCTTCACCATCCAAGTAAGATGATGCTAAAGAGAGTTTAAATTCGTCGGCAATGGAGTAAAATTCAAAATACCTCTCCGCCTCTAAAACCCATGCCTCCGGATTTCCACCACGGAACCGTCTTAATTCCACTGAAATAGGGTTGTCACGAAGAGTAGGTATTGCCGGACTGCAAATTGTTGGATCCCGGGGTGGAATGGACGTTGTAGCCTTTCTCCCCACTAGCTTCATTAACAACAAACGAATATCGGCGAAATCCTTAGAAAGCGAATCCTTCATTTCCTGAATTGAATCACGAATTGAGTCATCGACGAAAGCCTTGAGTACTTTTTGGTCCACCATTAGAGACCTCTGGATGAAAGCACCAATGTAACAAACGTGAAACAACCAATTCACACACAAGGAAACTCACTTGTAGTATTTCCCTTAAACAGAATTACAAGGAATAGCAATTGAAATGACATAGAAAACTGATAAGAATAAAGAGGTGAGAAACGGAGACCGGTATAGAAGGAGATGAGGAAATCAGAAATACAGAGTAGAGATGAGAGAGAACATATTCAACATCACAATTAGCATAATTCCTAAAACTGCCGATGACACCCTTTTATCTCCTTTGTCACGTACTCCTTACTCAACTTGGATCCCAAGCAAATGTATCGTCGGGCTGTCTAATTCCTTGGCCATATAGTGGTTTAGCCCCAGGCCCAATAGCTTGGCCAACCTTTGTCCAAATAACTGGCCCATAAGCATTATCTAACTTATCCATGTTCACAACAAATTAAGTGAGGGCCATGAGTTTAGGGGTTTTATTTGGCATGGCACGCCTCAAATTATTTCAAAAGAGTTCTATTATTCAAAGTTATCATGATCGGGCTACATGAAATACACCCCCGAATTCGGATTAGGTATCACGACTATGCCACGGAAATCGAATTTGGGCTTTGAGGATAACTTCATTGTTATTAAGCTAAGTCAACGTGAAATTAATTAACAAAGAGGCTACTGAAACAAAAGTGTGAGATGAATTTTTTTTGGATTAAATTAATCTTATTCTAACATTTTTCAATTAGTGACCTTTCAAAAATGGTCCTAACGTCTGAAATGGATCAGACGAAATACAGACCCAAGACGAAATGGATAGCTATTGCCTCGTTCACAAGTTCGAATCCCTGCGGCCTATTAGCGATTGTGCATTTACACCACTAAAATTCAAATCGAACTTGAAAACTAATTGGACAAATCGAACAAAACTGACCTTCAAACTTGCCATGAAAATAAATGCAGAACAAAACAAAATAATTTAATATAGCTAAAGCAACATATTTCAGTTTCAAAACTGATTTCAAATGAACACATTCAATTCTTCAAACCACTTAAACGATAGATCTGTGGCATTGCAAATGAAATTCTAACAATGATTGATTACCAACAACAAACACCAAATCATCCCTTAACATCTAACAATTCGAACAGCTAGCTTGAACATACTAATAATTTCATACACTTAACAGAGAGGGAATTTGAAACCAATTTAACAACCATACATACTAGATCTATGAATTTGAACAGAATTGAAACATAAAACAAGTAAAATTTCTTATTCATGATTCACTTGAAAATGACAGAGAATATGAACATACCTAGAAGCAAAACTCAAGAAGCTCCGGTCAACAAACAAAAACGAACTCAAAATCAAGCAGTTCCAAACAGCTCTCAGCTTCGAAGCAATCTTTACAGCTTCATTAAGCTCCGAAATTCCCAGAAAAATGTGGAAAAGAAAGTAAAATTTCGAGGCTGAAAATAAGCTTCTTTACCTTCAAATTTCAGCTCTAGATTCTGCAATTTCCACTTGTTACCAATGATTTCAGCGTGTGTGTGTGTTGATTGAATCAAAGGAAGAACGAGAGGGAAAGGGTGATGGGGAAGAGAGGAGCTGCGCCGATTTTCTTAAGGGGGAGGGTCAGGGATCTGATGGATTTTTTTTTT